ACACCTCTTCTCATTGCATTCCCTTTTCAAGAAAGGCCATGATTATTTTCTTTCCTGTCCCTCTGGAAACACAATGGTTGGCCGTCTGTCCAAACTGCAGGGATCCAGACAGACAAACATGCTGTCTGTAGATATTTCTGACTGCATCCCTCAGCCAACCCCACGTCTAGGATGCATGTTTATTTTTGCATTACCAGGGTACCAAGCTGCCACAGGATAATGAGGAAGAGCAGAGCAAGATATCGACCCACTCAAATTAACACCATTTTTCGACTAACAGGGGTGGGGCCTAATGCAAAAGCCAGGGAGGTGGAGAGACAGGAATGCTGCTATGATATCCAGGGGAGGTCTAACTTGCTTGAATTAGATGGCTCCACAAGGGCTCAGATGGATGAAACCCACTGCACTCTCTTGGTGGCTGCCCAGTTAATTCCACTGAGCATTCCCAAACACGCCTCCCTCTTACACCAAAGCCCCCTGCTTATATCAAAGCTGTTCCCAGCAAGCACCAAGTCCCTGACACCATAAGCCAAGGCACCTCTTATTTTATTTCAAGCCTGGCCAACATGATGGAGGTCACACAAAAATTAAAAAATGTAACAACTCACTGTAGAGGAAAGAGAAAAAAAAGTGATGAGTTCATAACTAATCTTTGCAGCTCTAGCCATGGACAGGATTTGTACAGCCATGTTGATTTTTTATAAAAATAGTAAATCGTATTACACCATGCTGCAAGACCAAAGATTCGCAATGATACCTTAATACAGCTTAAATAAAAATAGCACTACCTGAGTCAATCTGAGCATGATAATGCTTTGTAATCCCACACTCTTAGGGGATGAACAGTTGCATAGCAGTGAATCAACACGAGATACTTGCATTAAGAGACACTCCTTTTTCCATGTTATATAGCAGCATCTCTACAGAATGTAGAAGGCAGGCGGTGTTTGTGGGAGGAACAGCACACAATGGGGAAAACAGGGCAAATATAGAACCCCACTATCTTCCAGCTTGGAAATGTTGGCTAATACTTTACTTTTTTAAAAGGAAAGACAGCTTTTCAATTATTCCCATCACAGTAAACAATTAATGAAAAAGTTTGAATTTGAGAAGTTTTTGAGAAGTGAGCAGGCCTGTGTGCACTCATGCAGAACATTCATTCATAAAAACAAACACAGATGAACAGCAAAGCTGCATGCCCATTCTGGGGTTTTTTCTTAATATCCTTGACTGAGCAAACAGTGTAAATGGAAAGCAAATGTGCAATACAACATAAAAAGCCCCAACAGTGAAAATAATAACAAACCTGTTTATAATTAAAATGTAAAAGACAAAGATTAAACCAGCAATTTTTAAAGGTGGTTAAGAAGAAAAATGCAAGCCTTGATTAATGACACATTAAATCATAATACATTTTTCTCAATTACTTTGTAACATAAGCCACTCACACAAGCTACTTCGTTTGCTATTGTGCTCCCCATTTCTTCTTTTTTAAGATACATTTTCCAATTAATTGCACTTCCCCCTTCCACTCCGCTCCTGCAGTCTAGTTTTACGTATGGCAGACACCTGGCCCTTGCAGATCCCTCCAGACAGTGTGGAAAGGTAACAGCAAAAGTTAACTACACTGAAAGGTCTCCCTTTCCCCAATGGGACTTGAATTTGAATCCTGAAACAAGGGAGTTTTCCAAGGCTGTAGCACAGATGATGCTGAAGAGGAGAAAACAGCTTCCAATTCCCACTTGTCTTGCTTGCTCCCTTTTCCTCCTCTGCCCTGGTGCTCAGCCCAGCACTGCTGCTGCTTTTTTCCTCCTGCAGAGCCCAAATGCTCACAGGAAGGGTGATCCTGTGGGACCCTGGATATGAGGACATGGGTGGGCTATAGAGAAGGCAGGGAGATGCTGGCAGGGGTAGTAGAGGAGGAGATGTGCTAGAAGGCATTGGGACTTAGGGATGAGAATGCCCTGGTGAGGGGAGAAGTTCTAGTGATGGAGATGGTTCTAGAGCCAAGCCATGGGAAGATGCCCATGGCTCTGCTCTGTGCACAGGATCTAGAGCATATTTCCAAAAAACATCCCAACACCAATGGCAAGAACACTCCTCGATTTCCATGCCTTGGCACAGGTGGTACTGAGGTATCTCCAGAAGCTCAACCCGCCAGTACTGCATGCATCCCATTCAAGGGGACCCTCCTTTCCTCAAAAACAAACACAGAGGTTTCAATTCAGCTTTCAGTTTAAAAATAGAATGTTTCTCACAGACAGTTTGGTAGAGCAGATCTGTCAAACTTTGGCTGAAAAACGTTTCACTTTCATGTTCCATCAGTACAAGCCGTCTCTGGACCAGAGAAGTGAGGAGCCCTGTTTCCACGTCCATGCAAGCAACAGGCAGTTTCTGCTGTGGATCACAACATTTCATGCCCCATCCTCTGCCTTCCATGGCCATTGGTCATGGCCACTTGTGCTCCTCCAAAACAGCATGGAGGCCACAGCAATGCCACCGCTGTGGCCCCACTGCATCCCACCTGGGATGGAGACAACCCTCATGCCCACATCACATCTCCAAATCCACAGCACAGTCACTCCAGCAGCACCCTGAAACAAGACCTCCCAGCACAGCTGTTGATTTGGCTATCCTGCCCAGGGTGGCCCTGACACAGGTACAATCTCATCGTGTGTCTGGCTCCCTGGTCTTCCCTGTCAGAGCTGCTTATGTGCTTACAGGTAAAAATGCAGTTAAGCAGCTTGTTCAATCAGAGCCTGTGGTATCCCACCAGGCGAGCATCCGCATGCCTGTTCTCTCCTTTCCTGGCCAGCACCCTCACCTCCAGATGTGCTCAGCTGGGACAAAATTCAAGCTACTTTCGAGCACTTCCATACACATTTTGTTTTCATGATGCTATACTTTGCTCTGAAGCCACATATGTGCCACTAGCCACACCTTAGAGTTTGAAAAATGCCCACCTGGCTCAGCACTGGTCTCTCTTCAAGGCTGTCTCTTACTACATGTTAAATATGAACTGACTCAGCCAGACCACTGTAAGGCTCCACACAGGAATTGTTACACTTTGTAGATGTACCTTCATACTGCTATGGATCATGTAAATTCCCAGACTGAAATCATGGACATACCTGAATTTGAAATGGCAAGGAGGAATACAGACCATTAAAGCACCAAAAAATATGATGTATAAACACTCAACACCTCCAAACGGTTGCAAAAGTGCATCAGGAGCCCAAGCGGCCCCAAAAGACCACAGAGCTTCATGTTTTTGAAAGCCCTACCCAAAGGGTCTGCCCAGGAGAAACAAACATGAACTGTGGCAAGCACAGTCTGGAGTATCAACAAGTAGGTTTTTACTTATACCCTGTTCAGGTGTTACCTGAAACAAGAAGAAAAAAAATATAATCTTAAGTACAATTTAAACGGACAATTAAAAAGTGCCTGGACTTTACACAGTCACCAATCTCACAGAGATTGGAAGAGATTTATTTAATTTTTCAACGTCTCAAAAAAGATCCACTGAATATTCAGGTCCCAATTCAGCAGTAAGCAGTACAAACCATGCAGGTTTACAGTACAGATCCCATCATAGTTGTGGGGATGGGGAAGAGGAGGGGTATTGCTCAGAAGAGTATTTTGACAAAAGGCACATGGAATTCATGATTTAGCCTTGTAAGACACAAGCCTCAGTTAGAAAAACTGTCTAAGGGTTAAATTAGCCTTCCCTTACACAGAAAATAAGGATAACACAGTTTACTAAGTAAGAGATGTTTTCACTGATGAAAGATGTAATGGATAACAAATACATTTATGGGGCATTAAGCAAGACCCTTATAAATAGAAACAACAATTTTCTGGCCAAAATGAACACACATTTAGGGTGGACAGAAGCACTGTGCAACACACCAAACTCCATCATCCTCCTCTGCCCTGAGAAGTAATCAGTGCAGACAGCTACATTTCAGCTGCACAAACAATTCAAATCAATCTGGGATCATTCGTATCAAAAGGCATCTGACCTATGGGAAATACAGAGATTTGGAAGATGGAGAAGTCGATTAGAGGTTTGGGGCATTCCAACATAGTTCATTAGTCAGTCTGAACACACAAAAGCTCTAATAGCTTGTATCCTGTGCACTAGGGAAATGCAATGCAAGGATGAACTTCCTGAGGAATTAATGGGTAATGATATAATTTGGTTAATCTCATTGGAAAGAAATCTAGAAGTGAAAGAGGAAACAGAGTATGTATTTCTCTAGAAAGAACAAAAATAAATTACCCAGCAGAGTACTGGCTAGCACCCGTCAGAGAGATCAGCTCCACCAGAGGAAAAGAAATTGCACTGATTAAAATCAGTGTAAGAGGTGGCTTTGCACCTGCAATGCCACCACATTGGCAGTTCTTAGCAAGCTCATTCTCCTGCAGCTATTGACTGATTTAATGTCTCACAAATAAGAACCTAATGAAGTGCATGCAGATGAAATACATGGAAGTCTTGGGTGCAGGCAGGACAAAATCAGTCACATGTGGCAGAGATTAGTACGGGTTATGCAGCTTATTTTATGTCCTGGAAGTTTCATTTCTTTTGATTAACACATTCAGACAGAACAGAAGGAAAAAAACCCTAGGATTGCTTTCTGACATACAAAACACTGTCCCACTGGAATGTATAGGTTTTAATAAAAAATACAGTATAATTTGTACAGGTTTTCCCTAAGTTCAAGTATTTTTGAAAATGTAATGTTTTGGTTCACTTTCCAAGTCTCAAGAAATTCTTTCTGGTGCAAAGGTGAAGCTTAATGTTTTTATGCCAAACTCCTGCTCAAAGATTAGCCCTGAGAGCTTTAAAATTAAAGCATGCCATTAGCTCAGCAAATGCAAACTTCTGCACCCAATGCAGAACAAAAACAGTATTTGTGTTTTCTATTCCTCTTTTATTTTTTCAATTACTAAATTAAAGAGTGCTTTGAAAGGAGCAGGATCTGGAAAGTACTCACCACCTATCTTGGAATCTCTTCAGAGAAAGTCCACAGAGCTCAATTACCTAGAAGAGAAGAAACAAACCAAACATACTTTACATTACAGCTTTCTTATAAGTGGCAATCTTCACACTCTCAGCCTCCCCCTAAAAGCCACCTTTCCCAACTGAAAAAGAAATCAGAATTAGTCTAAACATGCAAAAACACTGCTCCAGTTTTTACCCTACACTGAGAAACAATTTTGTTGTGAATTTGAATTTTATTATTTGTCCTGAAATAGAAAACATTTCCACGTTGAAAAATGCACAGATTTGTCTTGAATTCAAACAGCAAATTCTTCTGACATTCAATAATCTGTTGAAAACACCCTTCTTGCTTTAAATCTTTTTCCGTAAAACTCATCTTTCAAAATAAGCAAGTATCAAGTTCAGAGTCAGAAGGTTTGCTTGACTCATACCACACAACATTGCTATACCACGACCTAAAAACTAGAGAAGAATAAAAGAAAAATATGAAAGAGCCAGTTTCAAGTTTTCTGAAGCCACTAAGCATTGCCCTGAAAGGTTAGAAATCACCTTCTTTCAGTTGAGCATGTTTCTCAAGGAAGAAGAGTATAATAATTTGCATTCCTTCAGCATCTGTCATCTGTGAATGCTGAGGGTTCCTCAGCCCTTAAGGAGTCACTGACAAGAGTACCATAATCAAGCTCACCTGCTCCTGCAATTCCTAGTCTCCCAAAATCTGTGGATTAGAAAATTGAAAACAAGTTACATTTTCTGATTTCTACTCTGTCACAGAGCTGACCACGGATTTCCTTCACCACTGATGCCAGGCACAGCTGGGAAGCATTCATTTGCTCCAGCCCAACACATCAACTTCTTTCCTGCCAGATCCCTGTCTGACCCAGTAATCCTCTAACTTCAGTGAACAAAATCCCACTGGGTTTAGCTCCCAAGTGCCTCCAGCCTCCCCCAGCACACACATTTGGTCTGCCCAGCGTCAAACCCCAGCCATGGACATTCCAGACATTACCAAAGCCTCCCAACAATATTCTTCAACACTTCACTATCCCTACAAAGCAGGAGTTCCTTCTTTTTGTGATACCCCTCACACTCATTTCCATTGGCCCTAACCCCTCGAGACAAGGATTGAGGTTTCCTATTTTTTCCCCTCACAGTAGGATGCCTGACACTGCAAACTCCTTGAATCAATCCTTCACCTTCTCTCCAGACCAAGCAGCCTGTTCTTTCCCATCTTTCCTCTTGGGTCCTGTTCTTCAGATTGCTGCTGGCCTTCCTCATTTTCTCTGCATCTTCCCTCAGGTGCAGTAGTGCAGTGCCCCATGCAGGCTCCAGCAATGCCAAAGCATCAGGAGATGCAACACAGAACAAAAAGTCCATCCTCCTGTTCATGAAAGGAAGTGTCTGTTGCATTGGGGCAGGATGATCCAACACAATCCCAAGACGTTTTTCAGTGGAGCCCCTCCAACCACCCCTGAGCAGTCTGAACAGTCAACTCATTCACCAGAGAGAGCTACAAGCCCACATTAAAGCCTTCGGGTGCAAATGGTGGACCCTCCAAAATCATTATCTCGTTCTGTCCAAAGCTATCCGAAAATCCAATGACTTTCCCAAATACTTGTAGCATCTCCTAGTTTGGTGCTACCTATTGAGTCTGAACCAGCATTTTCTCAAAAGCATCAATTACAATGACCCAAGCCACAGGATCCACCTTTGGAAATCCTCACCCAATACTTATTCTGAGCTTGATGACACATGGAAGCTAGGTCTGGATCACAGTCAGCACACCCACTTTGTACCATCCATACCACAAAAGTTTCACCAAAATTTATTTTCCTTAGTTTTCTTCTATGAATATCAAAACAGTGCCCAAAACCTAACTAGGATTGAAGTACATCATATCTTCTGCTCTTTTTCTATCCGCCTGTTACTCTGCTTCAGAAGATGCCTAAGTGGGAAATAATTTATTAACTTCCAGAAAAACACTGTAATAAAAGTCAGTGACTGTACTGCAATTCCATCTCCTCCTTTTAAAAAATTTAGCACTATATCTTTTGCTTTTTGATTGTTATGGTAACCTCACAAATTCTCCACTGCTTGCTTTTCTGAAGTAAACACCACAAAAAAAAATGTAAAGAAGTCAAGCAGCCAGCTGAAATGCAGCTCGTTCTACAAATCACAAGAACAAGGCAAGTGTCACAGAAGTGAGGTCAGGGTATCCTGCCCGAATGTGAGGTCCCCAGTCACCCCCTGAAGGTGCTCTTTCCCCTGATCACTGGTGATGCTCGCTGAAGAGCTTTTACTGAAGACCAATCTTCCCATACATAACTTCTCACCATCTGAGGAGTTGTTTTAAACAAACCTGCCCCAAAGGCCCAGAGAGCCTGGAAGAAAAAATAAAGAAAAAGAGAAAACCCTTAAAGTGTGTGCCCTCTAAATGACTGCGTTCTTATTTTATCCTGGTATCTTCCCCCATCAGTGCAGATTTTAACTACATCAGTCTCCTGCTCACAGAAAGGAAGCTCCAAGACTCCATGAAATTTTCTATTAGTCTTGAGATCCCTGGGCAGGCACTCACAGATGTTGCAACCTGGCAGCAACACAACCATTTAAGCAAATCATTTTAGATTCAACACCTTTTTATGAAGAAAACTTAGGATCCTCATCTCATACAGAGGTGGATGTTATCTCTTCAAGCTTCAAACCAAATAAAACCCAATGGAAAGGCAAGGTAAGGACTGAACTTGGTCACTGGCAAAACAGGAAGCACAACTCACAAACTCTTAATTTCTCTTCTGTGTTGCTGCTACAAAATCGTGCTTTCCTCATCCAACAAACCCTACAGAATAGTGTAAGATATTTGACCATATTTATATGCTCATAATAAATGTAATTTCACAGTCCAGATGCTAGATTCTGGCATCCTAAAAGACTTTAAGCAAGAAAAATGGCTATGTAAATTCTTATAACCATACAAAACCTTTGCTCCAACTTGAAGGAGTAGAGGGTAACTGGACAGCACAGGTTAATTTCTATGTTTACAGTCTGTGCAGTATTCAAATTCACTGCCAATTAAAAGGACAGTATAATTGAATTAGCAGAAGCAACTTATGACAGAAATTCAATTACAAAGCAGAATTAAAGGAAGAGATGTCAGAAACTTTTGGAGGCTGGGCAGGAAGAGGTGCATCAATCTACTATTTTCAGAGATGCTAGCAAAAAGCTTAAGGAGGAGACTGCTCCAAATAATAACTTGTAAATATCCTCCTTATAAAAAAGCTTCATTGAAAGACCAGAGAAACCAAAGTGACAGGTTTTTTTTCAGACATTGCTTTGACCTATCTGGCACGGGTAAAACTCCTCAGTGGTCAGACATCACCCATCTCTGCCTCCCCTGCAGGCACTGCACAATCCTCAGACCTGCCTTGGATTGCACCAAAACCATTGCAGACACCTTTATTTTTCTTTTGTTTTTCAAAGTTTTTAACCCCATTCATTTTCTCTGAGTCATAGACACTATATTTTAAGTAGATTTCTTTCTACTTGATAAAAAAGCCTCAAGTATTTGGGGCACTTTTCTTCCTTTAATGGTAACTATTTTACCCTGCCATGTTCTAGCCTCCATTTGCCCCCCTTTGGCTGATACTATACTTGATCAATCTCCATGCTAATTACCAATAGGGCCCTCCCACACCTCCGAGGTTCATTTTTCATAACTGCATTAAGACAAATCAATACTGTTATTAACATGGCCACATTTGTGGATGGTGTGACCTGACTGCAAATGCCACATGCAGCAGAGAAGATACTCCCAGCACCATATGAAGTCTCTGCACTCCTTATTTGCAATTTCTTTTTCAAGTACACTCTGCTATTTTATAACAATGGGGTGGGGGTTTTTTCTCTTTTTCTTGCAAACTGATGAAGACTTGTAGGACATAAAATTTTGCAGTCTCCTTCACACGTGGGTAGCAATAGTCCATGGACAGCCAAGAAACTGATTGTCCTGTCACTTGGTCTGCAATTGGGCTCAATGATCATTGTAGGACCCTTCCAACTGAACTATTCTATTCTGCTCTAACTTTACTCCAGTCACTCCCAGCCAGCCCACTCATCACCAACCACAGCACCTGGACTTTGGCTGTTCACTTCTACATACACTTATGCATGCATCCAGAGACCACATGTAGTCATGCCAGCACTCATACTGGCTGTCCCACTGCTCTGGAGCGTGCCCACCCAACCCCTTCCTCTAATACACAATCTTTTCCCACTCACGTCTCACCCCCTTCTCCTCCTCATCTTTCCCACCAGGTCTATAACCCACCATCTCAGAGCCTATCTGGACACAGAATTCAACCACAACGCAAGGAAAGTCCTAGAGGGGTCCAGGTCCCTACTTTCCAGAAGGGGTGTCAATCAGTTTACCCTGGCAATCAAAGGACAATCACTACTCAAGCGCATTGCCAACCTCACCAACTCCCAGGGATCACTAACCCTACTCAGTGTGACTCAAGAGAGCCTAGAGGCCACTGCAGCCCGTCACAGGCTCCTGGGCAGGTTTCAAGCCCATATTGAGCTCTGTGGTGCTATAACTAGAGAATTAGACACTGGCCAACGTAAATTCTAATTCAAGTCCTCTTCTCAATGTCCTGCTGTGGCTGCAGTGCAAATACACCTCTGACTGTGCGTCCCCTGAGAGGCTGGTACCGCCAAGAGAGATTTTTGTTGTGTCCTCAGCATAAACTGCTGCCCCTCCTTTCTTTGCCTCCAATACCTCTAGTGGTACCTCTTCCATTATCATTTTGCCTAAGCAATGTGCTTGCAACACCCTCAGTAATTACAATAATAGTAATAATGCCAGAGCATGAAGGAAACACTGAGCACTGACAGTAGCAGGAAATGGTAACAGGGAGGAGTTCAAAACATTGCTCAGAGGCTGTGTATGCTTATTTGGAGCACCTCCTGCACCTATTGACTGAACAGACTGAACAGGCTCCCAGGCTACTTTAATTTCACATGCTGTAAAGCAGCCTGCATTTTTA